CCTTCTCATTACAGAGATGCACATCACCTAATATGCTTAATTGGTAGTAGGCTTTCGAGCCTATACAGCTTGGAGTAAGACAACATGCATGAAGAAGATGATGTGGACAAAATACTCATTTGCCTAATAGTTCTGCACTCCCTGTAGTGGAAGAAAAATTAGAAACAGCATAAGTTGCAATGAAATACACCAAAATGAATCTTCTAATTTTAAAGTGAGTTTCACATGGTTGAAGTAGCGGCATAACAACAGCATTGCTGCAGCGGCTCCAGACATGCTCCCAATAGTATGGGACAAGTTTGACTATCGTATGGAGGAGGACACAAGTTTTGTGTAAAATTTTATTTTCAGAAGATATTTTAAAATTTACCACAAGCTTCTATGTCTATTACTTAAAAAAACAAAAAACTATGGCCTTTTGAATTCGGATGATTCTTTTTGATACACCCTGTTTTGTTCTCCTGTATTATCTTTTTTTCTAGCTGTTTATAGATTCTTATGTCACATGGCTATAAAATTAGTTCACATAGCTGCTCTAAATATGGGAGAAATAAATCTCCCTGAGGGACCAGGGGGCAAAGCAGTGAATGTTTACAATGTTTAAGTCCACCTATAATCTGGCTCTTTGAAATATCTTTGAAAAGAAAAAAATGAATGCATTAGTTTATGTTATAGTTCCTTATTTCATTCTAGGAACATATCACTCAGCAGTAAGAGTTGCTTGCGGATGTAATTATTTGGACAATAATGAGGTTCTGTGGCACAGAGGGATATAATATATGGACTTTGAAGTGAGTATTTGTTTTATTGACTTTTGTTGACAATAAGAACTGTAGAAAATGATTATTATTATTATTTTGCTTCTCTTTCCCTTTTAGCATCCTTTACAAATCCAGCTCTACACCTCTAATAGATCTGTATTCTTTCTTTGCCTTGGAGTAGAGCAGGGCAATATGGCCAAAAATATTTATCACGATATATATATTTGAAAATTTGCGATAACGATATAACCAACGATATAATTGATGCAAGACAAAATACAACTCCACAACATTACTAGCGCAAAAAGACAACCTTCCATTTATTTTCACTTAAACAAGAAGCTGGTTTTTATGTACATTAAAACCTTTATAAAAATGTAACAGTGCAAATGCAAATTCCTTGCTTAAAGTTTAACCAAAAGGCATTTCCAGTAGAAATGGGCTGACATATCCTGAGCATAACCATGTATAATATCCACTGAAGTTAAAAAGAGGTGCTTTGCAACATTAAACTGCAGTGTGCAGTACG